TATATTAATATTTTATTATTAAATATTAATCCAAATTTTGCAAATGGGAAAATGTACCTCTAAAATTCTTTATAGCTTCACCTCCAATGCACAACAGGCATAACAATATGAATTTTCTAAACTCTGCTCAGTGAGTTTTATTCATATTGCAATAAAGAAATGTTGTAAAATATTTTCAAAATTATCATTCATATTTCTTAGTACCACTTTGATACTGTTGATGTTAGCTGGTGTTATGTTAGGAGACATAAGATAACATCCTTGACTGAAGCATTTGCTGTAGTAAATATAATAGACATTATGATTCATGATACAAAACAGTTTGTTTTTAGTGCCAAATTACAGCAGATGTAATTCAACAGGCAATTTTATAAGACTGATCCAATTATTATCCAACTAAGACTTTGTCCAAATTTTGCTTAAATAGTTTGAATTCCAGTACAATTGAATCATATACAATAAAATGAAGTTCATTATATAATGCTTATTGGTAAAAGTCATTTAAGATGGTCTGACTGCATCAAGTTGTTGACTTGATGTTGACTCAAGCATGTGGTGATCCTGAGGAGGAACTACTTCCTTAAACCGCTGCAAACCGAACCATCATTCTGAGCCAGGAGGCAGAAATGGACCAACAAACTTTTTATGGCTTTATCTGTTTATGTCAAAAAGCAGAGCAGTGTGCATGACGTCACTTATTTTTAAACGAGTTTCCTTTATAAAATGCTCACAAAAATCATATGAAAAATAATGAATCAACAGTATATCAAATTGTGATGAGAAGAATTTTAACAAAAGAATGCTTACTTTGTTTTGACTGTAGCAGCATTTTGAAGTGGGTTTCCCTAATTGGGACAATTACAGTTTACAGTTTACCTATAGTTAAAGTCTCTTCCATTGCCAAAAAGCTGGTTTAAAAATATCTCACTGAGATTCTCCAAGCCAAAATGAACGCTTTCTCATCTTCCACAAAGGATCTTCAAATGCCATACTATTGCATAATATATTTTGGAGAAAACAAAGAGGGCGTGTTAAAATGTGTCTGCCAGCATACGTGGCTAAATATATGCAGAAAGAATCAGAAAGAAACTCAGTCATCACAGCAGCTTTCTGTGCATCATGTCGATCTTGAAACAGTTGTTGCTTCTTTTATCCGTGGTACCGATGGCGCTGAGTTACCCTTTCTTCCCACCAACCTGCTACTCCAAGGCTCTCAGCATGGCACAGGAGCTCACTCAGATGGCAGCTGATTTGAAGATCGGCTATGAAACCGTAAGTTAGATGCTGTGGTTTTTTACCACTCTTTGATTTTTAATCTTCTACAGGCAGACTTTTCATTTGTTAATTTACAGTATTTCTTAACTTCTTAGCTGGGTTTTTTTTCCCCTCCAGGGTCACTGTATGGCCCATATGCCAGAACTCTACCTTGATATACATGTAAGTATGATTTACAAATTCTGTAAAATGTCATTTAAAATTCACCATTTTCAAAATGTGCTCAAATCCCTAAGATCTTTAGAACCTTTGTTTTTACAGATTGTCACCCAAACTTCCCTGGTTGTTTCTGTTGCATTTTGACTGCAAACCTCAGCTTCTTCAAATCACATATGGGAAATCTTAATTGTTACCCATGACAGAATGCCTGTGTGATGTACAAAATGAGAGACTACATCTCTCTGGTGGAAGACCTGAGACGGCGGCGCTGCGGATACACCAGAGAAGTGAGGAAGCTGGAAGTCACTCTGCGGCAGCTCTTCATCATCATGGGAGAGAAATGCCATGGGGTAAGAAAGGTCACAGTGGGCATAAACTGTAACAACCATAATGTTGAATTTAGATATTACAGATTCTGTCCACAGACGCATCTTATTTAACTAAAGTATGTACTATGATAGATCCCCTGCGACAGCCTGGCAAGCTGTCCAGGGTGACCCCACCTCTTGCCCGAAACGTTTGCTGGGGACAGGCACCAGCACCCCTCCCCAAACCGCTAGGGACAAGGGTGTACAGAAAATGAATGGATGGATATACTATGATAGATGATAGATTGTCATTGACATTAAATAATGAATAATAAAATAACATTTAATTACATATCAGATACCTAATTCGTTCCAGAACAGCAACACTGGTGCACACATCCAGCCCGTATGCTGCAGTAAGGCACTGAAAGTTTGACGGCTTCAAAGATGAGAAAAATAAAATAAAAATAAGATCATCCCAACGGCGCTTTAATAAGTTAATTGTTGAATGCAAATTGAAAACGGTTTAAATAAGAGAGGAGATGAACAACTAGAAAAATACAAATGGTTGTCCTCAAAAGATCTGATCTGCCTTCCACCATCAGCTCTGATGTGACCAGGGGTATGTCGCTCTGCGGGCTCGCTTTGGAATTCAATTATGTTTTACAATAATGAAGCAAAACCAACTGAATGATTGTTTTTTAGGTGATAAACTATATATAAGAAGAGTTTGACTGATTTGAGTGAAAAGTCTGGCTTTAAGAGGTATTTCAGTCAGATTTTCTTCAAAGCCAAGTAGTCAGGAAGTTTATTTTATTTTGAAAGTTCAGTCTCTTCTAATCATTCTAAGCCATAGCTCACCCCATTTTTTTGCATGATTGCCATTTAACTACCTGAGCAATGAGTCTGTCTCCACAAGTAATATAACTGCATAAAATTGGAGCTGAACTGCTTATTTAATTTTGCAAAGTAAAATGAGACCCAAGAAAAATGGCCCTTATCAATCTAAGCTACAGCTTAATACACTTGAGTAAAATTTGAAGGACAGCCTAATGGCTTATATGAACACCGAACACAGTGACAGGGCATTCCTGCAGGAATGATGACTAAAATATTAGCGGGAATATGGTAATACTCTAACTGTGCAAGCCAAAATGAGACATTCTGGGACAACATTTTGTTGGCCAAAAATAACAGCACATTTTTGAATATCTGTTTGCCAACAATCCCAGTCACTGTGCAGCATGACTTGACACAAAACAGAAAAAAGTCTGCAGTTTAGTGGGTCACTCAGTGGGTGCTCTGACAGGATTAGGCAACGTTTATGATGCAGATTATGAGAACGGTGCTGTCCTGTGGGGATGTTTGATCCCACTCACGTGATGAGGAGAGTTACACACATCTAGGTCTGCAGACAGTGTCCTAGTCTTCGCAGACTAGGCCATGGTGTGGAAAAGGGTTTGAGGTAAATCACAGAAATACAGCAAATGGAGTGTAAGAGTCAAAGTGTCTCCTGGGAGGATGACAAGAACCTTATACCAACTGCTATGTATTATTATATTGAATATTATTGTTTTAATACATATAAGTACAGTACTAAGAGCTTAATATGACCCCACAGTTGTCATTAATTAATGTTTATGTCATACCTCTTGTGTGTTTTAACAGGACCTGGTGTTTACCGTCTATGACTGTGCTGCGCTGGAGCGTCCAAACAATCGATACTGAAAGTCCACCATTCTTGTCTGTCCAAAGTCCAAAGGGAGCTTAAAGAAGTGGAAAAGTCAAAGTTTTATGTATTTTTTTTTTTTACAATGTATTACATTACACAACACATGATCTTTTTAAGGAATTTTTATAAAACTGTGTGGATTTTACATAAAAAGTGTAACATTTTTTAAGTGTCACAATATAACATAAAGCTAACAAAGTCAATTTAAATGTTCTTTTTGCAGTGCCTTGCAAAAGTATCAGTATCCTTTACACTTTTTTTTTTTGCATTTTGTCACTTGCAACATCTAACCTCAATGCATAGTTTTCAATATGTTTTATTCACAATGAAAATCAAAAAATTGCATTTACATCCAGCATTTCTCTGATCTTCTGTTCAATAACTGAACTTCAGTTCCATCAGTTAGTGTACATCAGTTTTCATCTCATTTATTTGATATTTATTTGTTTCAAGGACAGCCCCTTGGGATGCAGCATCTCTTTTTCATCTCTGTCTCTTTTATTGAGACATGATGGTATATAGTAGGTCTGAATGGATCTGTAGGGTCATTGTTCTGCTTAAAAGCACATGTTTTCTCTCAGGAATGCCCATAATTTAGTTCACATTAACGCTGACCACCTGCTGAAGAAAACATTTACACAATGTGATGCAGCCATTATCATGTTGGACTCTGTCCAGGGTTGTTTGGATCTCCCCACATGAGACAAAGAAGAGCGCAGTGGGAATTAGCCTATTTAACACAACTTCTGAAGGATCTACATTTGTGCGATTGGATGGGCTTCAGGTTTTCTTTAACCTCACAGCTATGGGTGGACTGGATTTACTAATGAAATGACTTAGCAATTCAGATGAAAAAAATGGTTGAGCTTGATTTTATTTGGGAATATCAAATATCAGGGATGAGTAAAAATCCTTATCACGTTTTTAAATTTAATTTGAAAAAAGAAATAAAAAAAAAGGAAAGAAAACCTTCTCACATCCTTTTCCACTTCACATCTATTGGTCTATTAAATAAAACCTCCTGAAAAATAGAGCCAGATTATCACTATAACTTGACACAATTTGAAATGTGGTACTAATACTTCTACAATGCATTATAATTACAGTTTCTACAATAATTTGTACCAATGTAAGGAGAATGAGAGTTTCTGGAAAAATAATAAAGTTGCATTTTTCATGTCCTTTCTTTTTCTTTCCTTTTTTAGTTTTAAATCATCACAACACCTGACAGAATTTGAAAATGCTATGCGGCATTTATGAATATTTCATGACTTTTTTTGGCTGTGAATTAATCAAAGCTATTAAGTTAAAAAAAAATCCCTGAAAATGCTTTTAGGAAGTGAAAAATCTCCAGGTTATTTGATGGCAACTGGAAGGCCGAGCTGTTGTCACAGAAGCTGAACAGAGTAAACATGTAGACATCAGTGGCAAGAGATCAGTGTGGACAGATTAGTGGAAACCTCTGAGGGCCGACTGAACCTGCATGAGCTTGTCTCTTTACTCCAGGCTGTTGTCTCCAGAGCAGTGCAGTTGAGATGAGGACATATGACTGTGTTGTGGGAACTTCATGCAAACTCAAAGCATTAGCTAGAAGAGGGAAATGAAACCATGTTTGATTAAAGTAAACCACTAGAGGTGCTGTTTACGCTCGTTTCTCAAACCATTCCAACTGCTTAGAACACAAATGAAAAACATAAGACGCAGCATAAAATCCTCCCGTTTTTAGGAACATCCCTATCAATATGACAGATAATTTGACTTTTAATAGCAGAAAGCTTCCAAGAATTATGAGTAATTTAAGCTCAAAATACTAAAAATAAACTACAATCTGAACCTGCTGCCTTTTATCTGATTCTGATGTTTAGGAACCCAACAATTTAAGATTAAACCTTTAATTTCATGGTATGATTTTTATTCTTTTATCAGGTTTTAGGATAGTAGTTAGAATAATTGTACATTGAAGTATCCTCAAAACATGGAAGTGCTTCAGAAGAAGCAAAAGTGTTTTAATTTTAGATAACACAAATATGCTTTTATCATAAAGGAAGCATATAATCCTTCTTTTTAATTAAAAAAGAAAACTATCTCTCATCAGGATAATTATGAGATAAAATGTAATATGCATAGTTGTGTCTACTGACGTGGTTGCAAGTCACCAAGCCTTGTCCTAAAGAGGACAGAACAGTCTGACAGACTCTGGGACATTTTAGCAGAAACAGACAACAAAAATGGGACATGAAGCTGTTCCTGTTCTAACAAAATCATGTTGCCATCATATTGTTTGAGTGATGCCATAGTTTCATGTGTGTCCAAGACCTCAAGAAGCAAGAAATGTTTTATTAGTTCTTTTCATTTAACTGTCTAATTAAATGATTCCTGCTTTCAGTTGGAGAGACGATTTCTCTCATTATTCATAAAAAGCTTTTAGACCAAATACACTGCTTGGGTGTTAAGTTTTTAGTTAGTATGAGACCATGTTTGTTTAGACTCACCCATATGTGAAAAGTTACAAAGGAGAAGCCTTGTGCTGACGTCATCATGTTTGTGATGTATTGTCCTGATTTTAGCTAAAAACAGCTCTGCTTCTGAACACTAAAGGAAGATAAAACAAAGTTTTGTATTTATGGAGCTGTGAAAAAGTACAGAATGCCTCTTTTTGTTGTCATGCTTTCATTAAATTTTAGTATCAGACAAAAACGGTCTAAGTAAATACAAGATGTACTGTTCAAAAGAGGATTTCATTTATTAAGGGAAAGTGGTATCCAAATGTGTGAACAGGTAATCTGCCCCATTGCTAAATCATGAATTAACTGGGATTACTGGAATTACTGGGATAGTGTTAAATCTTCCCAGGTGTGGCTGCTCTGTCAAAATGTTTTCGACTGCATTGACAAATCAACTCAACTCAACCAGAAGGTGACAGGAGAACTCTGAACCTAAAGCACTGCAGGCCTCACTAAACACAGCTATGATTCAAAAACACGACAGAGACTGGGACAAAGAGTCTGTCATGGTCATGGTGTACTGAGATAATGGGTTTAAAAATGCTCTAATGTTTCAAAAGCTTAAAAAAATATGTATTTTTCTAGTTGATGCTTATAGTTTAATTTTCATCTACATTTGTCCGTTTACATGTTTCTGATTTAGGCTTCGCTCACTGACTTCTTTTTTTCTTTTTTCAGTCACTTTGGGTGAAAATATTTACAGTGCAGGTTGACCAAATACCCAAATATACCAGTTATGATGTTAAATTAAAATACAGTGTTATAAACTACATACAAATCTGGACGCTTGTTACGTGGAAAGCACCACCAGATGGAGCTGTTTTAAAATATGTGGAAGGAAAAAGCAATTTAACTGACCTGCGGCAGTGTGAAATGAGAAGTGATGAGAAACTAGATCAAGAAATCTAAGTGTTGAATCAAACACAAACGTAATTAGCTGTCCTGCCAATTTGACTAATTTCTCTTTTTTGAGCACAAAATCTAAATTTGAGTTTTTGGGCTGTAGTATTGATGTGATATATAAATGACATACGCCTATGTATTTGTATTATGAAACAGCAGCGCGTTGTCCATTAATTAGTAGATAAATAAACACGTGCATAGCTGTCAAATAGAGTTACAGGCATTAACGGGGACGGCTGCGTGCGCCAACCCGGATATGGAGTTTTTTTTAACCATCTGTGCCACACAGAAGACGGATTGAAGAACTACATTTCCATGACGCCACTGAAAGAGAGGGCTGTTGCGCAATAAGGTGGGGCTTCGTCTCTCAGTTTGAATCAACAAGTTGCCCAGACAGCGAGACACGCACAGTTAGACAGAGAACCCCATCAGCGTGTCCACCGCTGCAGCGGCAGGTGGTCACTGCGTGCCCCGGTGTTTGATCGCAGTTTGTAAGGCGGATTATTGACATGTTTTCTCCTTAGACCTCGCAGATTCTCGGGAGTAAAATGGATGGAGCAAAATAACTTCTTGAAAAAGCACTCTGTTCTTTTTGCTTCTTTTTAAGAAGGCGAAAAGTGAAGACAACACTTTTTTGCGTATTGGCGTGAGTAAAGCTCTCTGTGTAGAGATCGTTGACAACTAACGTATTCTTTGATTTATTATTTTATCATTTACATTTTGATTTCATTCAAAAAGCGTCACAGTGCTAATTATGGCATTCGCAAAGTTTAGTAAAATTATCCTAAAGAAGAAGCTGAAGCAGTATGAGCACGTCAGCCGAGACGTGAACCCTAATGACATATGGGAGATAGTTGGAGAGCTGGGAGACGGCGCGTTTGGAAAGGTTTACAAGGTAAGACCATTTAAAACACCTGGCTGCTATTACCTTTGTTCATAATGTTTTCTTTTTATATCCTGTCAATCACGTTTTAAGTTTAGCTTATAGTTTCAACAGAGAAAATTATGTGAGATGTACCAGTATTGACCACATTTATTTTTAAGTTGTTTCTGGGGTGTGGTGGACTACTCCCTGTCACATGTGAGATGCTTCACCCTCCAAACTTCTTTTGTTTTTGTAAATGGATAGCTATGTAAAGTATGTTGTTAGTCAGGTAGTCAGTCTCAGCTTTTAAGAAGTTCTATCCACATGAACAGTACTGGTGCATCACTAACAATATCATTTTAAAATTTTATTTATTTAAGCACTTTAAGTACACAAATAACACTTGTACTATACATATTCATTGCATACAGAGTGATATATTTTAAGTGCTTATATCTGTTTATTTTGATTATTGTGGATAACGACTTGTTAAAGTTTAAGTAGAACATTGCATAAGATCAAAAAGGTGTGAATGCATGGGAGAATGCTCATTTAATATTTTTCCAAGCATGAGGGCCACAAAAGCAAAAGGTGACTGTTGAAGAGCTGGTTTGTTCAGAGAACTGCATAGTAGTGGAAGGTTGGGTGGAAGGAAAACGTGTGGTGCAATCAGGTAGTTGTAGGGGAGTTTTGGGGGAGATTCAGAAAGACATGTCTTCATCTGTTGCATTTTTTTCATCAGCCCACTCCTGTAGAGACGAGAAACATCAGCATTGTCTTGCTGTGCAAGGAAGAAAATGAGTGAAATCTTTACCAGTTGCCAAAACTCTTAGCAAATTTGACATTTTATTTTAAAATCAGTTTCAGTTTGAATGACGAGTAGAGAAGCACCAAAGTCAAGTTGCTTGAGGTCTAGTGTGAAATTCAAAGTCAGTGATGATTTGGGGAGCCATCATCACTGCTGGTGTGTGTCCACTGTGCCAAGTTTAAGCTCTGCACTGCCTCACACCAGGCACTTCATCTTCCCTTCTGCTGACTAACCTCATGGATTCATTGATTAGCCTTTTTTTCTGCAGGCACTTGGCACCAGCCCACACTGCAAAAGTTGTAAATACCTGCTTTAATGACCATGGTATCACTATGCTTGACTGGCCTGCAAACATGCCAAGTGCTAGCAGTGCAGATGAGTTGAAGGCTGCTTATTAAATCAACCTGTGTTTCCTGTAACACCTCAGTAAGGCCACAGGCTGTATTTGGGTTTGTATTAACTGCAATCTTTAATTATGAAAGCAAACAAGTGCTTCAAGTGTATTGCTGTGTTTTTAATCAGTATGGGGCTTTTTTAATCTACCTACTGAAATGCATTACTTGTATTGGCACCTGTATTCATCCTCTCTACACTCAGTCTTTTCTGTGGCTCCAT